CATTCGTTGAAAAGAATCAGACCTTCATTTGATTTCGATCTCACATAAAAATTCTTAGTCATCCGAAAACATTACTAGCGTAGACGAATTCAAAAAGTCCGAAGTCGGCTAGATTTTGATAGAAAATACCCCAGCTACGTAGAACATAAATGCCCCTTCGCGAAGACCCAAATAATCAAGGCTTCATTAAAACACAACCGCAGGCCTTGAATCCAGCCTCTTAACTTACTCCCACGCATAGAACCGCCAAGTCCACAATGCCGAACCCCTCCTCCGCGGCATGAACAATTTTTAAACAGGGCGATGTATGAAAGGTATGTACTGCTGCGGGCATGTCATGTTGGACGGTGGAACTATGCCTTGAAGGTATGCCTGAACATGTCCAAAGTAACAATCTGACCCTCCCTGGTCGATGACTGTATGCTGCATTCGAGGGGGACATCCCCCAAGTAAGCCCAGACTCTTGTTTGAGGTGGTTATTGAACTAAGAATAACAACTTACACCAACAGCTTCTTGCAATAGAAGTACCGATCCGACAAACTGGGAAGACATCGTGCGCGCCCTGCGATGAGGTCGAGTCAATTAGCAACATACCAGACGGCGAAATGAGTTGGCCGAAACGTACGATTTCAAGGGCGTTATAGGGTCGATGGTATTACTTGCAAAAAGGATTGGGAAGGACGTAGGCCTGTCTAATCCGCTTATTGGGCCTGCTTAAACAAAAACTGGTAAGATTTTGCTTCCAATGGATCTGATGTGTATTTATGTTTCCCAAGATAAAGAACTTACACACACACAGAGAGAGAGAGAGAGAGAGAGAGAGAGACAGAAGAAGATGCATACCTTGAACCACCATGTTATCAGGCAATTTCGGTCGAAATGATCTACACAAGATATTGTCTTGGTAGATGGGATAAATATCACCGATGTACTTGCTCTTGGAGATCGTGTACTCGATGTAACTCTTAAATTCTTCCATGGTAGTAAGCCTGTTTCTCCGATACGAATCGGCGCACTGAATGGCTAGACGGGCGTCGGATATAGAATTTAATCCGTCAAACATGCCTGCAAGAGCAGACACGTCCCCACGCTCGACCTGGCGTAGGATGTCGGCCATGATTGGGAATTTCTCCAGTGGGGCGTAAATAGTGTTGAGGAAAAGAGCCTTCAGGTCTGAATAGGTGACCAGTGAAGGGAGGTCTCGACTTCGGACTCCGCTTACCGGGACCGGATGGTTTTGAAGCTGATGGATGATGTCGTCGAGTCTGGCCGTGATGTTAGCTGGCGTGGGTCCCCAGAAGGAACACTTTCCAGGACCTGCGGAATGGCAGAAGCTCGAGAATTTTTCCATGGCCTCGTCCATTTGATCAACGTTGTCCCTCCATTCATTGTTATAATATTGCTCTGCGTTCACAACACCATCTAGTATCATTCTCCCAACTCGGTCGGGAAACATGGAAGCGAAAGTGCTGCCAATGACAGTGCCATAACTAATGCCATAACACCACAATTTGGCGTCTGCTGGTGACTGACCAGTCGCCTCGGCCTCGGCTTCTATAAATGTGAGCAAATCATGGGCGACCGCCGGTGTAGTCACATAATAGTCGTGAGGTGACTCATTGTCGACAGCATTGTTGCACCACTCTCCGTAGATAGAGCTTGAATAGTACTGTTCTTCAAGCGAGGTTGATGAGATGTTGGTAGCGCCTGTACTGTGCAGTCGACTGAAGGCCAATCTTGCTTCTGGATTTCCCGAGAAGCAGTCGAGGCGCAAATCACTGTTGTTCACACCGCGAGGGTCAAAGGAGACGAAGTTATAATGCTCTCCGAACATTTTCCCTGCGACAGTACGGTATGTGAGGAGGAGATCGATACCAGAACCACCGGGACCGCCTGACGAGGTGTCAGTCCAGTCACATGAGAATTAAGTAACTTTGTATCGTTGATCTGATTGAGATCTTACCCGGGTTGATTACAATGCTTGGAGACTCGGCGGTGGCATTCTTCCCAGCCAGTTTTATGAAGGCGATTGACGTCGTGCCAACACTTCTGTTTGAATAATCCAAAGGAACCTCAAGTCTAGAGCATGTAAAGGCATCGAAACATGGTGTCCACGTGAGGTTGGCTGATGGCTCAATCTGGATGGCTAGTCAGAAAGTTTGAAAACCTCAGAGTAGGGGATGTACTTCGGAAAGTCACATTTTCAAATCCATAGACCATTTCTGGATCACGCCAAATATGGGCTTTGCATCCCAAGCTCATGAAAAGAATCAGTGCATTCACTAGTTGTGTCATTGTTATCCCTAGAAGGTTTCTCACTCAGCTTTCTGTTATATTGCTTGCAAGAAACTACCATTGTAGCCAACATAGTTGCGATATCAGGGAACTATTTATACCAGTTGAATTTCTTAATAGACTTGTTGATTAATTTTGCTGGATTTAATTGCTATGCTCCTTACGTGGTCACATTCTTCCTATCAACTTATAATACCTATTGTGCACACTCACTTGGGGCTCCGCTTGTACGAACCAGCCAATCAATATCTATTTTACCACCACCAGGTTTCGCTACGGAGGATGCAGGCATGAATTCTTACTGCCGAATCTCAAGTGAGGTCAGGCTCTGAATACGCTGTCTGCATGTGGACTAAATTATACAGTTGAATTCGAAAATGATTCCCCCTGAACACATACAGATTGTTTCTCGGCCCGTATCCGAAACCACCCTATTCCGTATCTCGATAACTTGTAAACATCATTTTCTAGAAATAGACCCATTTTATTTCCAGAACGACAGCGTTACGCGTAATATCGAATATTACACGAACATCCGTTGACTTCCCGGTCCACGTTTTCTCCACATTCCTAAAGCAACGTCTTCGGCGTCCGTATTGTCATCGCTCGGAGAGATCTGCAAGACTCAGGTACTTCGGCTCCAACAGCCCTCAGCAGCCATGGCCAGGATACTTGTCCTCCCTATTGAGTTGCGCGTCTCCATTTTGCAAGAGTTATCCGATATCGGGGATCTTTCGGCGGCACTTTCTAGCCATCGTCTGCTGGCCGAGGCGCTGCGCGAATCCCCCACCATTGTTGGCCATGTCCTGGGAAACGAAATTGATCCTCGACTTTGGCCGGTCGCAGTGATGATATGGCAAATGCGGACACATAGAAAAGATACTAAGGTTCATGACGAACAAGATGCGTTATCGATCCTTGAGGAATGCCAAAACACCACTCCCCAAGAAGCATGGAAATATCTGAACACTGTGGATTTGGCCGAGGCGCACAAATACTCCCACCAACTACAACGCGCTATTGACAAGTTTACGACCGACTTTATATCTATGGCCCTTGACTTCCTAACTATTGAAGGAGTGCTAGACCACTCTTCGCCCGCACCGTCACCTACTGAGGCCTATCGTGTCCAACGCGCTTTCTATTTCTTTGAATTTTTCTGCTGTCTCTGGGATGGCGGTCCGTATATCGTGGACTGGGATCGTCAGTGGTCATTGCCGTTATATGTTGGATTTGACCCTTGGATAAACGAGCAGCTCGCCTCGGTGTATGAGTATTTGTTGAGACAACTCACTATCGGTAACTATGCTCATCTATACCACAGGAATAAGAATGATGCTGACCAATTCTGCACCTAAAGCTTTCAATGACGTATATCGCATCCGCTGGGGTACCTTGAATACGGCCGATTTGGAACCAGACTATGAAAATGCCGAAAACGCATTTTTGGTTAGTAGTGAATTCACAATAAGGCAGTCCACTGAACTTTATAGGTCTCTCGCGGTATTAATTACGTCTACAAGCTTACCAGAGCACCGACACGCGAAGCCCGATGCCGATTACTAGTTGCCGAAACGAAGCCGGGAAAATCCTTTTTGCTGAACGTCGCTATTGAGGATCTTAACGACCAATACTACCACGAACGCCATACTCATCGAAGTCCCCTATTTGGTGCAGCCTACATGAGAGCTTTGCAAGACAGGTCGCAACACCCTGATGTATCTACTTCTGACCTCTTTCTACCAGATTTGGGCAAGTCCGGGCCGGCGGAAATTTGGTGTCAGGCGCATCTATCCGATGATCATGCCCAGTGGGGTTCGGATTTTGTTCTGAGCAAGAACTTCGCCCATGAACGGAAAGCGGGCTACGTGATGTGGGACGCATGTCGTATACTTGATTTCGAGAATTTTAAGCGGGAAAAAGACGTCTCGAACCGAAATTACCAATAGAAAATCGATTAAGCCAAATGGCGACTGTCACTCGCAAGAGGCTCCCCTCGATGAGTAGGGCGAATTTTGTACCACAAGCTTGGAGGTTGCTAGGGTATTCGCAATTTCACATGAACTAGAACTACAGAGGAGTGCCTAGGAAATCAGTTGGCCCTCAATGGCCTATGAGTAGTAAGCTGCGGCCCCCTCAAAGAGCTAAAGAGCTGGCTTTTGCAGAGTTCGTAACAGCTAGGAGGTCTGCCTTAGCTTGGTTGGGGGTTGCCAGGTATAGAGAGACAGTAAGGGAAAACTCAAATGAGCATTATGTTAGCCTAGCAGTTAGCCCTCTACAATAGCACTCCCTTCGTCATCTAGGAGGTGGATGTACAGAAAAGAAAGAAAGTATGGATCAATCCAGGTCGCCGGATCCCCTCTTGTTTGGGCTGTCTTGGAACATCCTACCAGGCTTTGTGGAGAATGATGGTATGTTTACAATAATGACTCACTTCGCAATACAATTTGGTAGGTTACAAGTAGCCTGCGGTCATTCTTGGAGTAAACCAAATACGGATTAGGGCGGTTTTTGGTACGGACCGAGAAACAATTCTTTTGATTGTAAAAGGGGAATCTGTTTTGGAATATTGCTGTAGCATAATCCAGAGATTTACAAAGAGATGTCTACCCATCACATCTCTGCATTGACTCCCATCCTCACTGGAATTGAATAGGTAGAAGCTCTGCTTTCTTGGCACCCCGTTTGTACGGACTGGCCAACCAAAAGTTACAGAATATGCATTAGTCTCTATCAGGATTTATCACGATTGGTTTATACTTCACTCTGCACGCAATTTGGTCTCTCCATGATTGAGCGCTCTCCTTCCATGGTGCCCCGCTTGTACGAACTAGCGAATTAAAATTTACCACCGTGCGCACTAATCTGTATTATGATTTATCATGGTTGGTTTATCTTTGGGCTCGTCGATTGATCTCCGACCTTCCTTTTTTGTACCGTCCGTCTTTTCTCATTCAAGTGTCCATCGCAAAGGATGCGGGAGATGACTTCCCCGCTGGCATACGAACAGACGAATAGACAATCCTTCTGAGATTCGGTTGGCGCCCTACATAGTTTTCTTTTCAGAGCGAATGCCGCATGCACGTGGCAGCTTATGGGTCGTAGTGCCCCCGGAGTGCCCACCGCTTAAAACGGCGCAAACCGCAAACGTTGGCCTGCTAACATCAAAGCCATGGATGAGGTTAAGGAGAACACCAAGAGGGCAAACCAAGCTTGGAGAAGAAAGCCTCGCAAGTTCGCTCCAAAGTCAAGACTGGGCTGTAAGACTTGCAAGTGAGTCTTGACTCCGTGTATTGCCACAGAGCGATCAATTGTGTTCAGAGATCCAAAAAATGACACTCAGCCTCGGTGCACCTCTCAGGATAAGACGAATAAAATGCGATCTATCTCGGCCTTCATGCTTGAAATGCCAGTCCACAGGTCGCACCTGTGACGGCTATAGTGAAATGCGCGTCGCTTGCAAGAACGAGACGACCGAGATTGAATCAAGTCATTATCACAACAAGAAGGCCCACGGAGCGGAGAGCTGCGACAGTTACCACCCTTGCACCACGATCAGTGCGTGTCATCCCAAAAAGGGGTACTCGAAATACCATGGCCTCATTTGGCAGAATCTCGGACCCTTTATGATCTTACCAGTGACTGGGTCGGCTCAGGCAGAGGCAATGTGGTTTTTCGAGAATATATCGATCAAGCATCTGAATGAACATCGCCCCTGCGAGTCATGGCGTAAGACTCTCATATTCTTCTCCCAAACAGTGCCATCAGTGCGGTATGCGGCCATTGCTCTGGCCTTGATCCACCGAAACTACCTGTATCGCGATTCTAGCAACCATGTGCATCAACCGCAATCTTCGAGAGACTGGCTAGGAGATAACGCTCCCTTGTTTCACTATAATCGGGCCATTCGCTTTCTTTTGAACCAGGAAAATGGCGACAGCACCGAAATAACAGCCGTCACGCTTTTGGTCTGCTATCTCTTCACCTGCTTTGATCATCTGGCGGGCAATTACGTACAAGCAGTGAAGCACCTGCGCGGAGGTGTGGAGCTTTCACGCAACATCGACAAGGCTATACTAAACAACAACAATACTTATGACGATTCCGAACCCTCAGGGGTTCGCACGTTTATCTGCCAGGTCACAAGACAGATCCGCCGTCTCGACATGCAGGCTGTATCATTTCTGGTCGACTGGACTCCAGTGGACATCCAAGAGACATTTATGTCTCAGCTTTCACCCTCTGATGGTACCTTTCGGTCTCTCGACCTAGCCGCCGACCACCTCCAGACCCTTATCGCTCGGGTAATGAGACTGCGCTACACGGAGCAGCAAATATCCTCAATGGACAAGATGTCGCCGTCACTTTCGTCACTTAAGGATATCGTACTCGGGCAGTTGGAAATATGGGCGAGTTCCTTCAAAAGCACACTGCAACAAGGCAGATCCTATGAGACAGACTCTGAAACTTACCCGCTCGTATCACTGCTGCGCCTTCAACATACTATCGCACGCACTCTCCTCAGTTGTTGTGGGCCTGGCAGGGAAATGGACTACGACAACTTCCTGCCCCAGTTCCAGCAATGCGTGGCCTTGGCGGGCGACGTAGCGGCGGCACATGAGCGGTATTCGGGGTCTTCAAGACCGACTTTTACGCCGGAGATCGGAATCATCCCCTTGCTTTACATAATAGGGGTCAAATGCCGGCATCCCATGGTCCGACGTGAGGTCCTGAGTATACTGCGACGGCAACCGACACAGGAGGCGGTTTGGGATAGCATGTCTGCTGCCAGGGTGGTTGAGCGGGTAACTGAGATTGAGGAAGGTCGGTTTGGGGAGGGGCAAATGATACAGAGCATGAAACAAATTGCTGTGTGCCAGAGGATCGAGGATTTGTCTTGGGTACATGTCGCCAGTGGACAGTCTGCGGCCAGGTTGGATATTACGTATACGTTCTGCGCGCGGGAGGGATTGCATACTGAGTCTCTTTTGATATGACAAACAGAAAGTCTCATCATGTCAAATAATCCACTCTAGACAGCCGCTCATTCTACGGAACTAAACAGAGAATGACTCCAGACTGGACTGCACAGATGGCCAAGTTTGTGGTAGATTCAGATGAGTAGTGAACTTCACTAACAAGGGATGAGAGGATCCCAGTCCTCTGAAAAGCTTCCAGGCATGTAATCAGTGAACCAGCCCGACTCCTCTATCTAACTTATGTAGCGTATCCAGGATAAACGATCAAACTTTAATGCCCAGATAAGCTTATACTAGATCACCCTGTTGCCCTGGGGTCCAAATAAGGAGGAGTCATCTCCCTTCAGTCTCTCCTGCTACCAATTCTGTATCCTTGAGGTCTCATGATGGCTTGTATCTCGAAGCAGTTGCATTCAGAATTGATTCAAGTCCAAAGGGCCCCAAAAGGAAGAGGTTTACTAGGCAACCTGTTTTTGCCATGTTGCCTTATACAAAGACTTGCTTGGCTGACTTTTACTCCTTATTCCACTTTGGAGTTGGTTCTCCCTCTGACATACAATGACCTGCGCTAATATCGACACGGACTTGGAGACCCAGTACTCATGAAAGGTGGTAGCCATTCTAGCTAATGTAATAGCAATATAGGTAGAGCAGAAACTATTATTCTACTCCCTTCCAGAGTTAAAGAGTTTTAACACTAACTTAGGATAAAGATCACAAGAGAGGATGCCATGTGCCATCCAAGTCTGCTAATTAAGTATCTAGAGGAAGCATAAGACTTAACAACTAGTCAAATTAACTCACTTCTGATACACTGAAAGATAACATATAACTTATTATATGCGCTTTATACCGGCACGCTGCTGTACATGACTTACCCTTCTATAGGTCTGCCCTGGTGCGTTCATTACAGCTGTGGTAAGGAGATGAAGATAGTTTGAAGGGTAACTGTTTTGAGATCTAGGGTGAGTATCTTGATTATGACGGAGAAGTATTTGGTGAATCTAAAATGTCCTCTGCTTGCAGGATTGAAATTCCCTTGTCCAACCACTCTATTGTGATTGAAGGTATTCCGTAACAAGGCACTGAAAGCCAGGGGATGGTAGATGTCTGGATGTTTAGAGATAGGGAGACAGAATGAAGATGAACATACGACAGTAGGAACGCGCGTGTGGAAAAATGCGGGTGAAGAAAAAAAGGAAAAAGGTAATACATCAATACCGCATTGAAAGACTATGGGGAATAATAAAAAGGAAGGTTTTTAAGGTTTGGATACATAAATTCCTCCGCAGGTGGCAGGGCGGAGGCGGGGCGGACAAGAGGATCCGCGACATCCTAGGGTGGTGAACAACAATCATCTAGTTCATAACTGTAAGCAAGTCTAGTTTCATAATGGTGCGTTACTAGAGGCAAAAATATATCTGTAGGTGAGATGATCAATACTCTTAATGCAAAAGCGATTTCAGTGGCCCCTAGCTTTGCCATAATGGCTCAGGCATACTGGGTTTATATGGACGCTAGAGTTGCATTCGGTCCGAGTTCCGGGAGTTCAAACCCATCGAACGGTTAATTTGGAACCGTCTTGCTTACCGATCACTAATTCTTAGGATTTCCCTACATAGGTTATGATTTAGCTATCTGAATATGAAATATTAAATAAAAATATCTCGCGGTTGCCGAGATATAAGGGGATAATCATCTCTGTCAGGGATTGGTATGAAAGTGGAGGGAATATATCTATACACTCTTGGTGGCAAACTAATGCGTTGAATTGCTTCATAATAGCAAAAACGCGGTCAAGACGCCTTGGGTGGCTACAGTCATAATGGCCGCTCGCTTACCGATTAGGTTATGGACTAGTATGTCAAATTTTACGCGACCATTAACTGTGATCTAGCCTCTATTTTAGGAACCGAAAAGCTGCTTTGCATTCCCAGAATATATAGATGCCATAGTGTCCTCCGTGAACAATTCCATGACGTTCTGGTCCATCACCTTGCCGAGACTTTCTACCACCGCTCCTGGAGTATACGGATAGTCACTGCCGTATACCAGTCGACTTGCATCTCCCATTCGGAGGTAACCATGAATGAGATCAGGAAACGGAAAGCCAGCCAGGTCAAAATAGAACCGCGTTTTGAGAAGTTCCTTCAGGTCTGCACTGGAATGCTTGGTATTCCCTTTGAGAAGGATAGTGCTGAATGCTGCGACCCGCTCCACAAGCGGTGGCAGGGTAGCACCGCAATGAGAGACGAGGAAAGTCAAGTTTGTATATCTAGTAACTGTTTGTGTGAGGAGAAGATTGACAACTGCACGCGTAGTGTCGAAGAAATATTCTATCATGGGCGTGGGATATTGCGGCAATGGCTTGTCGGCCGTGGGATGGTCTATGGAACAACATTTGGTGGGATGGATGAAGACAACAGTAGGCCTTTCGTTGAGCTTCTCGAAGACTGGTCCGTATAGCTCGTCACCTAGGTAGTGTCCCTGTGCGTTCGTCATCAAGGCGAACCCACAGAAGCCCTCCATATCACGCACCCGATCAATTTCCTGTCGAGAGCCGCCCACATCGGGGAGGGGAAGGGATGCGAAGAAGCTGAATCTGTCTGGAAATCTGCGATGGGTTTCTGCCATCTCATCGTTCGTCTCTTTGGTCACCTGTCTCGCGAGCTCAAAGTCTCCCGCTTTCAAATGCGTCCCTGGCGACGTGATGCTTAGTATGGACCGCTTGATGTTCAGCTTACCCATCAGCGCGATATGGGCTTCGGCAGACCATTCCTGTAGGGCGGATCATATTTAGTGTATATCAGAAGATGTCATGGCACTAGAAGATGCTTACAGGAATCCCGGGCATCCCGTCAGGCTTGTCCCAACCATGCCTCTCGCACCACTTTCTCCATCCGCTTGGAACGATGTGGCAGTGGGTGTCAATTCGTTCCATCGCACCTGTTGACTTACTTCGTCTCTCTTGGATCAAGTCTTTCTAGTAACAAGGTGTTCGTTAGTCGTTTGGGGGCTCTATTTAGTATTGCTGACGTGTGGGCTTTCCGAGGTCTCCGGCCATAGATCCCACGTGGGGACTATTACTGCATGCGGAGCTTTTACTAACAATTTGCCATGAAAGCATCCCAAGACAACCCCCCCTTTGATTGATAAGGTTTGGCTCCCAGTAATGGAGTTTCCACCGTAGAACTATCATAAATTGGGACCCGAGTAAAGATACGAGTAGACGAGTGAATGTAAGATAAAGGCCAGAAATCTTTCCGGGCCCTCGTAATCACCACCCCTTGAAGCAAACTGCTCGTGGACGGGGCACACCTCGCCATCAATCGGGATCAAGGGGCTATGCGCGCGGTCCCTATCCAAGTCCAACCCGCAATGAATCCTTCCGACACTTCCGTAGCACTCCCGGCTGGGTGCGGGTGCGTAAATCTCTCAAAATGTGGACCACGGATCATGGTAACTGAGGCTTGAAACTTGCGGAGAATGCGGGGGTAGCGGGGACAATCAATGTTGTCCGAATTGATCGAGAGGTAAAAAATTCGATATCACAGTTGGTCATCTCTACCGCACACATGCAGCGTCTATTCCTCAGTAACGGCACAAGTTGTCGGAGTCAGATGTCCAGGCCACCAGTGCTGGAAGTCTTATTCATTATTTCTTTTCTCACCCCGTCCAGGAGTCTGCCGCCTGGTTCTTGTTGTTCTTCATCTGCTATATCATACAATCAATTGTGACAGCAGCTAAATCAGGATTGAGGTCAATTCCTAGGCCCGCCTTCGCAAGATTTTCCTCACTCTACCGGCCATGGAAGCTAGCTGGTGCTGGTGCTCCTAACTTTACACGAGAGTTACGGAAAGATTGTAAGGACTGGCCCAAAGACAGTTGATTTTTCGGACCCGGTGGCTCTATCTGTTCTACATGGCGCCAAAAGCAAGTTTCTGAAAGTAAGCCACACCCTAATCAATCAAACTCGTCATGTTCGAACAACAGCACGATGGGTGTGCACCTGATTTTTGCACTGAGTAGTCAGCATTCTATGACACGTTTAGTCCCTTTTATGAAGTTATAGAGGTGGAAAGCCGGTTCCCAAATAATAATATGACTAAGCGGCACATATCTCGTATCTTGATGCCGTTCGCGGGTGTCTCGCGGGTGTCTCGCGGATGTCTCGATTGACACTGAAATTGCTATTCTCCATTTTTGTGATAATCCTTCCCAATCATAACGTATACTTGAGTATAGGAGTGCTAGGCCCCCATTATCAGTGCCACACTTTTAACAGTCAACTTCACCTCCCTCGGAGCATCTGATAATCAGTTGTTTTATTGTCCTCTCAAGCAAAATGGCAGAGTGTTCTGTCGTGCGAACAAATGATGGTATATCTTGGTACTGTGAGCGTCAGGGTAGTGGACCAGACATAGTGCTCATTCCATCAGGAGAAGGTGATTGTGCATCCTTCAGAACAATCGCATCCCTTCTCGCTAGATCATTTACAGTCACAACATTTGATATGCCTGGCATGTCACGCACAGTTGCCCCCAGGGCCTGCTACCAGAATGTGACACCACAGCTTTTGGCTGGCCAGATTATTGGTCTGATGGACGAACTGTCTATTCCTGTCGCTACTTTTTACGGATGTAGCTCCGGTGGAGCAACAGTTTTGGCTCTAGTAGCAAACCACCCGGCTCGGGTTCGCAGTGGCATAGTTCACGAGGTCCCATTTACTTTACATCCGCACCTGGCAGCTTTGACGTCTCTCTCCGACGCCGAAATTGTGGCTGCATGCCGCAATATCTATTTTACTGGTATGAACGAGGACGAAGCTGCCTTCAGAGAGCTAGGCTCTGAATATCATTCCCGTCTTGACCGAAACTATATTACATGGGTGCGAAATTATGTTACGACGATTTCGCCCAATCTCAGGGAGGAGGGTTTGACGAAGAGACCAATTACCTGGACAATTGGGGCATTAACTCCTGCTGGAGCATTCTTTGAGAATGTGAAAATTGCTTGCCGCTGTGGCATCGATATTGGTCTTTTACCCTGCATGCACTTTCCTCAAGTGAGCATCCCTGAAAAGTTGGCATTGCACATCCAGGAGGCCGCAATGAAGTACTAGTTTGGCGTACAGGTACTTCCTGTGCTTTCATTAAAACAAAAGCGGTCATTAAGGACTCGTGGTCAAAATGTGAGGCTTATACCGTGTCTCTTGTCCTAGATTGGCTGATTCTGTTCAGTCAGGTATTGGATGCAGCTCGGTTGGTATTCCCATCCCGCTATTCTTTCTTTCGAGCAAGAAGATCGGGGTAATACCTGGTGCACATGCCTCCGGCTGGTACAATGCACCAGAAAATCTTGCTAAGTTGAAGCTCTTGCTAAGTTAATAATATATGTATATTGTATATTGTCACGGCCTGGAGTTTCCTGTCCGGAGCTACACTGCTAGCCGTCCAAAAGGCCACAAGGGAATGAAGTGGAATTGCTGAAGAAGGAAGAAACCAGGTACAGGGGCTGGCGCACTAATTAATGTATTAATGAACTCTCACCACATGACCACAGCTGCATACACAAAGTGTTGCGTGTCATGGGATCAGCCCTTGACACAACCCGCCGGTATAGGTCCTGATATTCGACTCAAACCCGACCTGAGGCGTAATGACATATATAATATGGGGTCAGGAGGTATCTGTAATCCAATCTGCATGGATTTCAAGGCAGATTACTGATGTCGTGGGTTAGCCAAAACCAATGCAGATTCGTCCAAACACAACCCACGACCAGTCAGAATCCTGGCCCTAACCCAGTCCCCAGCCCCCCTCCTGTTTGATAAAGGGTAAGTAGTAGTCATGGTAGGTTACATGCCTTATACAGCCACCTTTATACAAAGAGAGATCTAGTCTATCTTCATGGGAACTATATATAAAGGATAAAGGATATTTGAGAATCCTTACAGCAGCTCTAGCTACCCTAAGTGATATGATGCCCTAACAATTGCTCAACTTTAAGAGACTAGACTGATCAATCCAAACTCTCTGAATGCCATATAGTATAGTTAATATTGAGTGGTTTGCATATTATTACCCGCTTTAACCAATGTATATTGATATTATACAATTTTTCTGCTCTCACTGCTTTTATGTGAGTTACAGAGCTGGTTTTCTGGCACATGGGTAGAAGCTATTATCATTTGGATGGTTGTGATATATTGCACCACAGAAGCTGAAATAAACTATATTAATCCATGTCCATATCGCATCTATTATTTCATTGACTTACTAGACTTGACCTCTATCCTCAGAGTAGAGGACTCTGTGCAGCCCTGCATCCTTGCCACCATTATAGAACCCAGCAGGGTATAAAGGATATCCATATATCTCTTTGAAATCTCGACATTGAGGTTCTAACCTCCATTTATCATAGGTATGAGGATAAGAGCCTATTTAAATAAGGTGCTTTAGTAACCTGCTTCGGCCAGCTCTTCAGATGAATGATAAGGAAATGTCTCAAGGAAATGTCTCACCCTTTGGATTTTCAATTGCTTGCTCTATAGTAAGTCCAAGTTGGGTCCTCTCATAATATCTAGCTGGGCCTTCCCGATCTAATCAAACATCAGCTGTACTTCCATGGACTAAGTTGAGGCTTTACTCATACTTGGGCATATATATTCATTGGTCTTCTCAAAGATACCCCAATTAACATCAACGTTGTTGATAAAGGACAAACCAAGGATAATTTTGAATGGGATCTTCATTATATTGTATAGGAATAGGCCCAAATTAACAAATAAACAGGTTATTATTATAATAGTTATAATTAATCCTTATAATAGAAGAAAGTGCCGATTTATAAGATAACCAAGGAGATAGGGACTTAAGAGAGAAGCAAGCAGGCCATAGCGCCTTTATCAAATTAGTTTTACTCTGTGGACTTTTCCAATTAACCTCATTAACGTCATTAACGTCATTAACGTCATTAACACTCCTGGATATCCTATTATGATGTGCGCCCCATTTGCGCCCCATTTGTTAATGCAACCCTGTGGTTGACTAAGAAGCATCATGATCAGGTCCCCGTAATATTCTGCAATACAACTTAATAGATTAAAACGGGCAAACACATTAGTGCGTTGTTAGAGTTTGAAGATAGATGGTCAGGTTGGATATACCGCATGCAGCTCCCGAGAAGAAATGGGCGGTAATTGCCTAGGATCCTATTCCATATCTTTTAACCTTGCTGTGCCCTGTGCGCTACCACGGGAATCAAGTTGACCACTACATAATGGTGAGCTCAGACATGCAGACCATCTTGAACCCAGATACCCACAAAGATATGCCGGCCAAACACACTCAACTGGTCTGACTCGCGCCGAAAGGACGTGCTCACCACTTGCCAGACTTCCGGCAGGGAAGACCACAATACATGGGTGGGAGAGGGGCACAATCCCCGCGCTAGAAAATCATTCTGGGGAGATCGTGGATTGTATTCATTCAGGTTGAAACGCGGCTGATTTGCTCGGAATGGATGTACCAGGTCACCTGGGAATAATGCTAGCCAGCAATGTGTGTGGGCGGTGCAAGGCCCAGAAGAGGAAATGTGACAAGCTGCTCCCATCCTGCACACGGTGTGTCAAGTATGTCCAGGACACACCTACCTTCTACACGTCCTGGCTGCAGAGAGGTGGGGTGCTGACACTGTCTACTGTAGCTTGCGGTTGTCCTGTGACTATGACCTGCATATCTCGCGGGAGATCAACGCTGTCTCTTCCATCTCCGAGTTTCTCTTTTTCCACGTGCCGGTAGCTGCAGGGCAGCTGTGGTTACCGGCCAGTTTGCAGGCCACCACCCTTGAGAGATGGACCCTGGACATCGATCGGTTTGTTGTGCGGTTAGTGATGGCCAACTTGGGCGAGCCGAGATCGCGGCTGCATAGTGCTTTGAAAGTGTACTTTGACAGCGTCCAGCCCTGGTTGCCAGTGATCCACGAACGAAATTTCCGACAGCGACTCTCGCAACTTTTGAACAAGCCTCGTGCAGATAAAGTATTGCTCCTGCTAGTTATCTATCCGCTCATTACGGAACGGGTCTCCGAGGCGCATTATCACCCAGAGCAGAGTCAAACTTACTACCTCTGCAAATACCTCTTCTCCTTCCTGCAGCTCACCCGGCCACCGTGTCTTGATATGGTTGAGACCGGGCTGCTGTTTGTAGTGTACGAATTGGGCAACTCGCTGTCTATGCCGCCTGCGTCACCGTAGGAGTCTGCGCGAGGCTGGCTTAATGAATCTGCACGTCGATGCACGCCCACTACATGCAATTTTTACACCAGGGTGGATTGAATCGGAAGAGAAGCTGCGAACGTGGCTGGGAATATACATGCTGGATATCGGTATGCATCCCTTTTCTGGTGGGATCAGCAGTGTGAAATGCAGGGCTGTCAATGACTGACCTGACTAACCAACACGTAAATTGCAGCCTCGTTCTCCAGGTGGTGACTGATTTCCAGGCCCCACACGCCATTCAACGGCTCGAGCCTGGTTCTGGTTTACCGGTGGATGACCGGATCTGGGACAGCCTTCCACCTACAGCAGCGGCCGATGTTTTACAACCTTCATTGTCTACCCCTGTAGAGACACCCCTCTATTACTTCGCCCGCAAAGTCCAGACCGTTCATTTGCTCGGACAAGTCCAGGCCTTGCGAGACGTCCCCGTAGACCTATTACGTCCCGCAGAATTCGACCGACTTGAGAAATCGTCATTGATCCTAGCGCAGACCCTATTCCATCAAAACCCGGGAGAGTGGCTTGTCTTCTGTGGCGCGAATGCTTTGGCTTTACTGTAGGTGATCAAGACACAGCATCATCGTGGAAGCTATGCTCACATAATTGACTTATCTGATACTTCATAGGGCTACAATGACACTCCAGCAGGTCCGGACGTCTCGAGTCCAGAGGCTGCACGTGCCGCACGAAATCGAGAAGGCTGCACTAGATCTTTTGCTGCTTGTGAACATTTCGAATGAATCTGTACCCAGTTCAATGCCATCGCGACGAAGGACAATATTGATCTAGTGCCTCTACCCGCAGTGCGTGTCTTTTGGTCAGCTACCTCAAGTACGATGCATCTCTATTGCACAATATCGCTTCTGTGCCCCGGCTATTGAAATGCAATTTGTATTGAGATATCTTACTGGTCAGCGAAGCCTGAGGGGCTATAATATATGTTTAAAAGCACATAATGATAAACGAGTGTTGGATACATGAGTCGTGACCAAACAGGGGACTCTCACAATAGGCAGTCGCACTAACGAGTGATCTGGCCGAGCCGTGGCGTCGACAAAAGCATTTTAAAAACTTTTCAGGTTAACGACACGCCTTGATCAATGGGACAATAAGTTGGAATTTCAGCAAGTAACATCATAGGAGCCCGCAGTGAATCCATTCTCCTCTGTATGACATTGATCATCCACATCCAAGAAGAGCTCGCCGTCATCGGCATTGCAATTTGCGCCGCTGAACAGCGTCACGATGCATCCTTGCAGGCCGGACGCCTCAGCACTGTAGACCTTCAAGCGGGGTCTTGAAGTTATTGCACTGGTTGGCATTGACGAGGCTGAGGCTGATGACGACGCTGCCCTCACACTCGGGGGTTATTATAGGCCGCCAGTTGAATCGCCTCTGCTGCTTTCGTCAGGAGCAGCAGTGCGCTCGCGAGGCGCCAACCATTCGAAGTGAAAGTGCTCGGTGTCATGGTCGCTTTTTTTCTGATGCAGGTCACACGGCCGGCGTTATATTCTTGGCGGAGCGCATCTTTTGTGCCGGGAGACTTGAGGGTGACGTTGATGGTAGGGCGGCCAAAGACAATGGAGCCTTTGGCGATGAGGGGACAAGCAGTTTGTTCGGAGCGTTGGGTCAAATGGCCAGGACGGTAGCGGCTTCTCCGTGAGTGAGGTCGAGAATGATTGTGCCGTCCATGGTGAATTGGAAAAATCTTAAGGAGGTACTTTTCAAGGTTTATATATATTCTGTAAAGATTGAATAATATTCTACAATTCTCTTATCGCCGAGGATCATGAGGTGAGGGGTAGGATGGTTCGCCTTTGGTCTTGTTGGACGGCCAACGCCGCTGGCTCTCGATAGATAAGCCGCAGCTACTTTACATCGGCGTGCGGCAAGTAGATCAGTATCTCGTAGAGTAGTTCGGTCGGTAAATCTGCCGAAAAACGATCTGTTATCGTTTAAAATATCTAGGTATATCTATAAGGATAACGGCGATGGAGAAGCTTATTACTCGACCTAAGATAAGTCTACGGCATTCCATCTCATAAGCAGATTAGCAATGGATTTAGTTCACAAGGAGAGAGGTGCACCTAAAAACATCGTCAAGTCTATCTAGCAGCCTCAATATCCTCCCTCCGGATCCCACTTCGGTCACACATACTGCGGAAGATGCCCATCCTCTCCCACAGCTCCAGCGGCGGACCTAACTCTGCTATCTCGCCCTTGTCCATGACACAGATACGGTTGTATCCGATGATCGTTCGTAGACGATGAGCAATGCTCAGCAGGGTCTTTCCGCGGAAGTTATTGACAATGGTCTCCTGGATTTTCATGTCGGTCTCGGTATCAATCGAACTGGTTCCTTCGTCAATCACAATAATCCGACTGTCCCGTACCATGGCCCTGGCGAAGGCTAGAAGCTGTCGCTGGCCGAGTGAGTAGTTCGATCCCTCTTCATCCACAGGGCCATCCAGGGTGATCTTTGACATGCTGGACCCATCCTTCTCCGACTCCTGTGATTTATCATTGGTCGCATTATTCGCATCCACAAGATGACTCTGTCGCAGGGCGTTCCAGAGCTCGGCGTCGGTGTGTTCATTGAACGGATCGAGATTGGACCGCACTGTACCCCGGAAGAACGTCGGGTCCTGGGGAATTATGGAAACCCGTGCGCGCAGTTCATGCAGGCCGATCTGAGAGATATCCACTCCATCAATGGTGATAGAGCCCTCCGCCAGCTTGACCAGTCGGAACAGCGCTGAAATAATCGAGCTCTTCCCTGCTCCAGTCCGACCGATGATTCCGATCCGCTCGCCTCCCGTGATGGTGAGGTTTAGTCTGTTAAGGACCAGCGGGAGCCCAGGGCGATACCGCATTGTGACGTTCTCAAAGGTGATTTGTCCCTGTTCAGGCCAGGTCGGACGCACCATCCCCAAGTCCAACGGAGCCTCTGGCTCTAGGCCTGTATATTCATGGATGCGTTCAGTTCCATTCATCGCACTCTCTACCTCTGCCAGCTGTCGCACAGTGAATTGGATGAGCTGTACAATGCTCAGACTGTAGCTCAGTACTAGACCAGAAATACTGGGAGATATGCTATATCGTTCGGCCACAGCAAGGATGCCGCTGGTGAAGACGAGTGCGTTGCCAATGCTGTCCAGACGCAGCGAAAGCCATCGCTGGTTGCCAAACGTTAGAAAGTGAGCGCTGTTCATGTCATCGATGGCCGACTGGACGCGTGAAGTAAATTGCTGTTGTCGCCCATACGATCGAATGCTAGACGTCCCTGCTAATGCCTCACTGAACCGGGCATACACGCTTGAATCCAGCACAGCTTCGAATCGTTTCAATTCCCGTGCGCTGGCCCGGTAATACGCTGTCCATATCACAAGAAGAACGGTCAGGGGCGCAATAGCGGCGGCAAACTAAGTTCCGTTAGTGGTGGTGCTCTTCATATATAAAGGCTGGCCAGTTCCCCTACATAGTAGAAGTACGCAATGGTAAGTACAAAGACACCAATGATCATACTGAGCACCACAAGATACATCCGCAAGGAATCTGTGAGGCTCATATCCATCACATCAATATCTTTGGTAAATCGATGGGTAATGCGACCCAGAGGCGTTGTGTCGAAGAACGACATAGGAGATCGTAAGACGTGCCAGGTAGCCTGATTGAGCATTGTGCGGCTTGCATTCGTACCAACCACACTTGTACACAGGGAGAAGGCAAACAGCAGGACTCCCTGGAGACATGCCAGTCCAGCGTATATGCCAATCTATACCATTAGCACCAACCCCCGGTAGAATGAGAAGCATCTTACCCATTGACCCCGACTTAGATCAAAAGATTGGGCCGACCAGTAACTCAGCCAGAGGCCAGTCATGATATTAGCCCCACGGAAGCTGACAAGCAACAGGAAGATCCAGACGGCGTTCAGGATGCTTCCTGATGCGCGGATGTACGCCAAGTAGACGCTCCATGGAACACTCTTGACCGCTTTGCCCTCTGCAGTCATTAGTGCCCCATCACCATGAAGCGAGACGCTGGAGTCGACACGCTCGATACGATCTTCAGAGCTCCCTTCGTCATTGGGCTTTCCCTTTTCATCACCTTCCTCGCGCTGGACGCTCAAAGTCATCAAGCGATTGAAGTCCGCGGAGCGCTGGCGGAGATCGGTATAAGTTTCAACAGCTCGGATCCTTCCTTCATGCAACAGTGCCACGCGATCACAACGGTCGAGAACATGCAGTTGATGGGTAGCGAGAATCCGACACTTGTCTTTTAACAGGCCACAAATGGCGTGCTGGAAGATATGCTCGCCGACGTGTGCGTCCACAGCAGACAACGGATCGTCCATGAGCACGATGTCTGTGCGCGAGTAGACGGCCCTCGCCAGGTTCACTCGCTGCTTTTGGCCCCCGGAAAGATTGATTCCTCTCTCTCCGATCTCCGTCATGTCGCCTGCAGGCAGGCTGCGAAAGTCCGCTCGAAGAGCGCACGCATCGACCACCTTATAGTACCAATCCGAATCGAACGGCTGTCCAAAGACAATGTTATCACGAACCGTAGCGTTCTGGATCCAAGCATATTGGGGACAAAAGGCTCTAGAGGCTCCCAGAACCATAGTGCCCCCTGTGCGGCGCATCTCGCCGGCCAACGCAGCGAGCAATGATGTTTTGCCAGCGCCTACGGTGCCCACAACGGCCAGTAGCTCGTTCCGTGGGACTGTTAGATCCAGGTCATGAAGTTGGAAGACTGACTGCGGTGCTGAGGCGGATTCAGGCGCCACAGACTTGTCAGTACCCATGCCTCGCTCCCAGGTAAAGCTCGCGTTGCGAAGTTCCACCGCAGCGGCCATATTCATGTCCCAGACAGCCTGTTCTTCATGTTCCTCTGCCTGTAGAAACTCCTCTATACGTCGGACGGAGGCCAACGCATCGACCACTTGTCCAATGGCCACGGGGAGCCAGTTAAGCGGAGTGCGCAGGGAGTTGAAGAGCGCAAGCGACGAGAATATAGTCGCCGCATCTAATGCATGGTTTGAAAGTGCAAAGGTAATGAATGCAAACAGTGTGGCGAAGATAGGAAGGGCCATCGATACTGCTCCAATGGCACTCCGCATGATCAGCAAAATCTGAACCGACCTAATCTCCTGTGCTCGTATCTCGTTCAGATGATCTTGGAAGGCTCTTTCCCAAGCAAAACATTTGACAAAGCGAACCCCCTGGAGTATCTCTTGGGTCAAGCTCACCCGGCGGTCTGCAATAGCATTGATCATATCCCTTCGACTTGCTAGGAACTTTACCACTTGTGACAGGCTGAACAGGCCAATGACTAGGAATCCAACCCCCGGTAGGGCACTGTAAGTTAAGTTGATGATAACCAGAATGACAGCAAGTAGGATAGCGAGGGGACTGGTCCAGACGAGGTGAACCACATTGGACGCCTGGAAGATCCGCTGCGTGTCGTTAGACATCAGATTCATGATACGGCCATTCGTCCAGCCCTCAGATTCTGACCCTGAGTTGCTCTTGCCTGTCGCCCCAACCTTTTCTCTCATAGACAGTCGTAGGGATTTCTCAAAGATGGCGGAGATCAACACACTGCGCGTCTGGCCTCCCACGACCATAGACCGGTAGAGAAAGTGAGTGTCGCCGAGACTCTGGAGAATCTGCATCCCCAGGATGCCTAGCACGAGGCCTACTCCCCTTCCAATCTTAGGGATGGGCTCCCCATAATGATGCGCGTTCCACGCATCCTGCACAAACGCAATCAGGTAGCGGAGAGTGAAAGGAGCAAAGATCAAGAGGACGTCCGATAACAGACGGCAAATCCCGCCCAGCCAGATCTCGCGCCGAAACGTATCGTGTATGGCTCCAAGCAGTGGATGCTTTTTCTTCTGGGCCACACGCAGTTGAAAGCTTTCTCGCAGTTTGCTCGAGAGTGGTACGACAGCACGATCTGGGTTCACCAGCCAGATATCCTCATACTCCAACGGTCTATGATATCCAGTCTGGGAAAATAAATTAGTGCTTGGCTATACAAAGCTTCCAAGGACATACACTCATGTGCTCATTCATCCAGGAGAATGTTAATTTGCTCCAGAACCCAGCGCCGTACTCCTTCGATACCTGACGCTCGCTGGGGATAGGCTGGACCTTGCCCCATCGCCAGCGGCCCCAGGACCACTTCTGGGACTGCTGGATACACTGTTGTTGTGCATCGATTTTTTCGTCCTTGCTATAAGGTTCCGCCATGTTGAGAGGCCTAGCGCGCAGTGCTTCTCAGGGACTACCTGCCACAGTGCAGAGATGAGAAAGCGATCTTACAAGCCCCTGGAGGAAAATGATGGAACATGCAATTGTGGTAGAGTGCATTAACAATTTGGCTCGGAACATGTCCATGCGCGATAGGGGCGAAGGGGCAGGGTGAGACAAAAGAAACGGCCAGTATACCCCTGTCACCGCTAGGCTTATCCCGCCAATGACTGCCTCGAGGGCCAGCGTCAATATAGCCGGTCATGATGTTGCATTCACAACCCTTGAACCATGCGATGGCGCAATTGCCAGTCGCATACCTTTGGGCTGATTGGCGGGCGGAAGCCGCTGATCGTCAGCAGGTGGTCAGAGACTTGCAGTAGAACAGAGTCAATCTCCCATAAAAAGAGCACGGCTGATACTCGCTGTAGCCGAATACTTTATGCGGTAGGCTGCGACGTATACAGTGTTACAGCTATGGCGCATTGGAATCGATGCTCTCTAGTGACCAGTCTTGGTGAGCCGCGGTTCGCTCTTGGAGTCACAGTGTCACCAGAAACTAATTGGGGCAGGCCGATATCAATGCCAGTGGCGATATTACCAATCGACCGATGGCTTTCCGCGAGCTTCTTTGGACCTAGTTCTTGCTCGGGAGGTCGATAGTGAACAGAGTGGGGAGTCTTGTGTTGGGATTGCAGGCACGGTGACCCTGGACCAGCCTCTACCGGTCCTAAAATATGTTCAAGAGCAATTGGTATTGGCCAGACGTCCTCCAGAGTCGATTCTCCTGAAACTCATTCTCCCATGCGTTCCGGGATATGTGGTCAAATCCGACCTTCCGACACAGCGGCTGGAGTGTGTTGGAAGCTATGTGAGTAAGGTCAGGATGGGGGATGGCGCGTCACCACCAGTCGGGGTACTATACATGCACGCCGAGTTATATTAGCAACAAATGCCTTTACTAGCGCTTTGGCACCCGAGTACGCTCGTGCGATTGTACCATGTAAAGGGATCTGCTGCCATGTAGCCGCTCCTCAGGATGAGGCTCTCCGGAAGCTACCTGGGACGTATTGCATTCGACTGCATGCCGGTGCAGTGGTGTACTTGATTGACCGGGGGCAAGGATCAATCATCGTCGGAGGGGCCCAGCATACATTCAAGGCGCCACGGGAGCAGTGGTACAATAACCTAGATGATGCCAGCCTGATCGAGAATGCGGAAGGATTCTTCGATGGATTCATGCAGCGCACGTTTCTCGACTGGCAGGATAGCCATCCATCTATCAAGCATATCTGGACGGGAGGTGAATACATCCCCTGATGGCTATGATACATACCGAAGACTAACATTTCTACTCCTCTACGGTCGCCTTCAATCTGGATGTCGTCACTCGTGTTCATGGTAATGACCGTCGTTTATTACAAATATTTTGATACTGAACCTCGTTAAGTTTTCTCATGCAACATAGGTGCCAGCTGACTGGAGGAATCAGAACCTAATATTTCTTACTTACTGAACAAAATTCGCAGGTAGAGCACTCATGCTTACATAGGACGGGGGTCGCTCTAATAAGCATGCTTCGGAAAGGGAAAGACACTCATTGGTGTGACGTGAGCTGGTTTTCAGTCTCTGGGGAAACAATAAGTTCTCTCTTTTCATTAGCTATTTGCTCCATGGCTGGTGTGCATTTAAGTCTTATCATTAAAATGTACTTATTCCAGGCGTTTCTGCATTAGGGATGCATTCAATCAGGAGTTGACAAGAGGTACCCCTCCGAGCAAGAGCGTCATTGTTAGCCAGTAATTGTTCCATATTGGAGGCCTTTAGTCAGCGAAACAACCCAGGACAAAGGGCAACTGCTTTAATTCAGATCCATACTTAGACCAGCCAATATCGGTCTATTGATTGCGGCGCAGTCATTATACATCACTCATACAGGGATAGAATGTACCATTGGAGCACAACTCTTATCCAAGTGACCGGGGTCCAGGGGCCAAATTCTGTCCTGCCACGCTGGTGTTGCTTTCGTGCTATTAATCAATCCAAAGAAAATAGCAGACCGGAATTTGTTCACAAAGGCCTTTCCTTTACTTTTCCTATTTGTGTTTGGGGGATTCCGCCATAAATAAAGCCTTTCTAAGGATTACTCTGCCATTAGTGGTGACACAAGGAAACAAAAGACAAGCATATTTCCCAAACACTGGCACGATAAGTCATGTTTCCTTAGTGAAGCATTAATGCCCTGTTGGCGTTTACCTCCCACTGCCTTGACATGATCCTGGCCGCATGGGTGGAGAAAGAAGCACGATCTCTTAAAGATCATAATTGGCTTCCACTCTATTGGGCCGTCGCATTGGTTTCCAATTGGCTTGAATTAGCTCTCATGACCATGAGCAGTTTTGGCGACGCCTTTCCCCAATATTACTGCTCCTTCACCACCGAAGAACCCACCAACCAATTTAAGGTGCTCAGAAAGTCCTAATGCCAAGATCTGTTAAACTACTCCATAGAATGTATTCTCAACAATTATAATTTCATAGTACCCTGTATTAGGTATACAATTGCCCCCTCAAGTTGCGTGGAGTTGAGTGGATTGGCCTAGTCTAGACAGGCTCGGTCCAAGTCCAAAGACCCTGCAAGTTTACACGTGATAAGCCTCCTAACCACTATAGATAGAATCAAACCATGTACTGTATCACTTCGGTCTCTGATCTTTCCCAACGTGTCTTCAAATGCCGCATGAGATACATAGAACTAGCGAACCTCCTCAATAAACCTGTAGTGCAGACTCTACCCTTGGGGACAACATAAAGAGGTAGTGATGCCCGAGTGCCGTGATAAAGGCTGAGAGCCAGACGCACCCCAGACGCACCCTTAGCCCCTCCTGAAGCGCTTGGGCATTTATCAAGGAAATCTTGATTGGCTCAGTAATATTCTTGATAGCACAGCTCCGACAAGGCTAGCTACCAACTGCCAGGATCACCTTCGAGAGGGTTTCTGGCTTTTGCTGTTCCCTTGCCCAACTTGAACCTGGGTGAGCCCGCTGTGCTTTTTCGGGCATCTTAACCTGGTCAAGAGAGGAGAATCATTTGGCCCGCTGCTGTCGGGAACCGCGTTACGTCCAAAGTGGGCTGATACTTGACCCTGGCCAAAGAAGATCAACGCAGAATCAGGAGGCCCAGCCAATCCCCCTTTTGAACAATATTGAGAATCTTGTGCTTTACTATCCACGCAGCTAAATTAACGTGTGTCAAGAGGCACCCAGCAAAAGGACCGAAGAGAGAGGGGTTTGTACATGGCAAGTCAGGCCTTGACATGACGTGGGTCTATCTCCTCGTGTCTGCCGCGCGCAAGATGAACTAGGCAGATGCCCTACTCGTTCAATAAACCAACAAAAGGTAATTGAGAGTGATTTCGGTCATATCAACATTTCCCGGCAACAGCATTCCTCAAGTCTTACTAATAATGTAACCCGCGTAAGTGCTTTTGTACACAGTAAACAAGAGTAACAGTCATAGCAGCATTTGGCCCCCAAGAGCATCTCTCAGATCTTACTGATGATGTATCCCGCCCAGTTTCCGGGTGCCTGGAGCCATGTAACTGAGCCCCCATTCACGCATATGATCTCTTGCCCGGTGCATTGCTGATCAAGGTATCCCGTCAGGCGCCATTGCCCACCGCCATTGAACGAGAACTGGGAACAACCATTGGCGTTGATAGGTGAGCACCCCGCTGGGGATTCCCTCGCTCCTGAAGTATCACCAGTGCCACGGCAGGCCCGGCCGGGGCTGTAACGATTAAACATGTAACAATCGCGCTTCTTGAGAGATGATAGAGCGACGTCTGCGGGATTGGCAGAAATGGGAGAGGCCGCGGTAACGGGTAGCAGCAGAATCACCGTCCGAAGAATGAATCTCATAATCGTCCGAGTATTATATTGTAGTTGGTTATTGATACCGCTCGAGTGTCCAGCCATTGTATGAATAGATCCACAAATTTGTCCCGGACCTCGGCGTTAGATGAAGGACAATGGAAGAAAAGAGCGCCTTCGCTCTGGGTGATCGAAGTGAGGGTAGTATCGGAATGCACTTTTTGAAGACGTTCCGTGATGTCGGATACGACCGAGTCTTCGATAGGAGTGGCCACAACAAGTTTGATATGAATCTCGTCCCTGTCTTCTGAATCCATGATTATTGGTAACGGAGGCGCGAAGGCTTGCTTTTATGTTTCCTCTTAATCACTGATTTCCACATAAGTTCAGACATCCATATTTATGAGCTGGGTGACAACAACTCCAGGTAATTTGGATGCCGGTGGCCTCGCACTTCCTTCTTGGAAGATGTTAGTGCTTATGGTGCTAAGGTGCTTATGCGCCTGTTGCCCGGCGCGGAGACCGCATCGCCTTTTTGGGGATATAAGGCGGCGCTAAAACAACTTTGTTGTAAAGGGAAAGTACTATTGCATGATAGCAGAAGTATGAGCCCATTTCACTGAGCAAGTTTTATTCTGCTAGAAGCTGAGATTGTGCTCTAAGCTTCAAGATGGGGCATGACCAAGTGCTTTTCTCTTTTACGGAGTGGTGTAACGATCAAACAGCTGTTATGGAAGAGGCGTGTAGTGATGATTGTGAATGGATCAATATATGCAAGCGCTTGTTGATTGTAGATTTGATATCTTTACAGAGAGTAATTCTGTGACACAGTAAAAATTCCTGGAATCTGTGTTGTTTATTGATGGAGGCTTCAGCGGCAAACATCTGTAGTGGATAGTGCAAAAGCAGCCAACAGAGGCAAAATTGCAAGCTTGGATGTAGGGATGCGGGGTTGACAATATTTTTTCCTTGGTTAGCCTGGTGAAATAGACTTGCTTTTGAAAAATAAACAGGTACGCATCCTAGTCAGAAAGGTTGCCCCCGCTTCGAGATTGCGCCTTGGAAAAGGACCTATACCAGTAATAGATCTGTAACTCTATACCTGGTAGTGAAGCTAGCTTGGCACTTGGCGTACAGCCCTTCCTAAGGTTTTAGATGGTGGACATCCTAACATAGGCAAATTATTTTCCAAACCCCATCATATCTACTACTAGCCCCCACMTCCCAATTTGTTAAGGATGGCTGCTAACAATATGGCACCGCGTGAAATAAAGGGTACTCCAGGCAGTCATAATCTCTCTGACGTCGTGGAAGATATCCTCCATTACAACTCGCATTTGCCATTCGAGGTCATCTACATCCCAGTTCACCCGACAAAGTACCTTTACAGAATTACCTGTGATGACATTCAGTCCGTCCCAAAAGATCGAAATTATATAAACTCCTGTTTTCTCCAAGCACGCGTCGAACGAGTACGCCCAAGAGATCCATCCAACCCAGCTGGGAGCGCCCACTTATTCCGAGAGCCACAACCCTTTCAGATCGAAGCTGTGCCTATAGAAGATAAAGCAGAAAAAAATGAAGATGCAGCTCAATAAAGTGATGGCATTGGTCTTCGCTGCATCTTTAGCAGTGCGGATTCGATGCCACTTGCCAATAGCACAGGGTTCTCGACCTTGATAGAAGAGCGGCAGAACAGGGATTGGTCATTTATCTTATATCAGAATGCAAGATGTACTGGCGCCGCAGATGAGTTCACTGGCGTTGGGAATCATGGGTATGATACCAACCTTCGGTATGGTAGTGCTGTTGCATTTCAGAAGACATATATGGAGCCAGACTGTGTTGTCGGCTTCTACAGTGATGCAAATTGCAACAACCTGATCGACGTCCTCGATGACACTGATGAGACTACCTGCCGCACTCCAGTTCAGGGAGGTGCTATTGTTGCTTGGGACGCAGTCTGTTAATTACTCTATGCATGCTTTAAAGGTCATCACAGAGCACATACAGTGCATGCTTTTCTGCGTCTAGTCCCTAGTACATGAACAATAGCCCAGGTGATTAGACCGAGTCCGGAGTACAGTTCAGCAAGGCGCCCGTCCTAGTCCTTGCACCTGCTACGAGTTTGGGTCAACTAGCTTCACATCACAAGCGTTTGCTCTAGCACGAAAGGAGCCAAATGAGCAGTTTTTTCAACCCTTCTTGTTTGAGAGCCCCCATCTAAGCTGATCAAGTAATGTGCTCACTCTAAATTCCCAGGAGCATATCCTTGGTTAAGGAGATCCAGCTGCTGTGGCGCCCCGAATGGACGGGCCATCGGAACAACTCGAAGCTACCCTTGGAGCTCCGATGCCAATATAAAGGCGAATGTGGAAGTGGCTTAACATGCGCCAGAAGTTTATCTCTGATCGCAACCATCATAGCATGACCCATACCATGGTATTGTCAGTTGCGTCAGGATTTGGAGTCAAGCTGCTCGCGTGGCCCGGGAATTACATTAGCCTCAATGAACAGTAGTACAATGACTACTCATAGTATGTCAGGATATCGATACCATAGTATTCAATATTGAATCATCATCTAATAGGGATATCGATTTGATACCATAGTATTCAATATTATATTGTCATCTAGTAGGGATATTAAATACTTATATTGTAGGATATTAGATACGACTATTCTTATATATATATTTTTCAAAATATGCAGTATACACAGTAGTCAGTAGGTATCCCCTTATCTTTCTATATATAAATATAAATTCTAAATATACAAGGTATAACCTTAGTATATAAGGATTTAATATTAATATATATAATACTATAGTATTTAATATCCTGATAGATGATGATTTGATATTGAATACTACGGTATCGATATCCACACTAGATCATATTATTGCAGTGCGTGCAACCATTAGGGGGCGGGAGTGGTGGCATGTAATCATTGTAAAAATACCAAAAGTCCACATCGTAGCTATAGTCCGCCGTATCTCAGATGCTGAAGCACGCGGATCAGCCATGCAACGAGCTTGAGGGTCCCAGCTCCTCTGAGCCCTGACAGCGCCAGTGGAGGTCTTTCTACCCTTTCGCCACCAAGACGGACGCTCACTGGCACATTCCACTTTCACAAACAAGGGGGATGAAGTACAGACACTTCATCTGCGAGTTCTGTGGCGATAGGTTATCGCCGGTATGCGCATGTTTAGCCAAGGTATCTTCTCCGACTCATTCTGCAGAGAATGTATCTCTTATGAAAACACGTGGAAATGACTGCCGAGGTTCTCTGTGATCCCGCCAAGTAACTGCTGCAATAAATGAATAATCCTTCCCGAAAGCAAATCCTCACGAAATTTAGTTCTCCTGTCTGTGGTGTTTCCATCCCTCAGATCCAGATTCGATCGATCTCATCCCAAAATGGCGTTAAATATTTCAATGCCCCCTTTCCCTGGCCCACAACTGCTGCTTGGCTCGCTACCTTTACTGGTGCTCTCAGAGTCAAGATCTCGGTCCCATGCTGGAACAATGCTTTTTAAAATGCTCTCCTCAGTAGCCTTTATTATTGGCCCACTTCTCACAACCTCTACTGAATGGTCACCATATCGACTTTCGATTACAATCGGCCTTGCCTTCTCCCTTGCTGGAGACTTCTTCCTGCTCCCTTCCCGAAGCGAGTTTTACAATTCGCCCTCTTCAGACCAGGGAAAATCAATTTCGACCTTCTTCCAGCTGGGGGTAGTCGCCTTCGCATTGGCCCATATCGCCTACATTGTTGCCTTCCTCCGAGACGCCAAAGCCATTTCGTTGGGCACTCTTACAACCACATTCATCGCGACCATGCTCGTTGCGAAGTGGCTCGGTGTGATCTACCCACCTGAACAGTCCTGGGCTCGTAGCAACTTGCTCAACCTCACCATTGCTCCCGATATGAAGCCTCTGGTATTGGTATATGCCCTGATCATCAGCTCGATGTTCGCTGTTGCTCTGGCCACGAATCCGTCGACTCCAACCACAACCTGGCTGTCTCAACACGGGTTAGGGGCTGCCATGTTTGTGGTTAGTGACGTCTTTGTTGCGAAAGATGCGTTTGAAAGTTCGTCTGGTCCCGGGAAGCCAGGCTGGCTTAGGATTGCAGTGGGATATGGTCTGTACTTCTGGGGGCAGATGGTCATAGCAGGAACAGTAGAGACGAGGTAGCTTCCAGGTTCCTTGCGAGCTGGTTCGTTATCAATCAAGCAAAATGGGTTCATCGGAGACTATCCCAAGCAAATTGCTTCTAAAAGTTACTGTACAACTGGAGCCATCCCGGTTGGGCTGGGTCGTCCCTTCTTCAATCAATGCTACATGATTTTGCCTTGCAAAATGGAATTCTTCGGATACCATATATACAAGGGTCCCGAACCAGATCTCCTCTCCTCTTGTTGATGACAATTGATATAACTTTCAGTTTTATTTGTGTTCGAAAATTCAATTTGTATTCGAGCCTTGACTGACTCTTCCATGCCATTTCTTAACCGATTGCTCCTTCCACATAGAATCCTTAGCAAAGATTTTTGTAGCTTTTTTTGGCCAACAGGAACCAACACAAGCGAAAGTATTCCGCAAAGATCATTAGAGAGTGGATGAGAGGGAGAGCGGAGCGGAGCAACATAAGGTAGAGGCTAGACTGAGGGCTGTAGTGAGGCTTATAATAGGTAGTACTCCGTAGTCACAGAGGATTTGTAAAGTGACCGGGGCAGCTGGCTGGGATCGCACCCCAACATTTGACAGAAAGGTGACATGAAATGATGGCCATGAGGTGGTTAAGGATCTCATATCCATGGGAGTCAGATCAGACGTAAGAGGGTCCTGAATCTGCTGTAAACCAAGAAGTGTTGATAAGTTTCTGTCGAAGTACGGGACATATGCTGTAGGAGAGGTCTGGCCTCCCTTGCCCAGAACCATTTCTCATGTTTAATTAACGTCCCCCTCTAAAAGAGCGAAGTGAATGAACAGTTGCTCAGTTTTGATCAAGAGTGCACTAAGACAGGAGCTCAACGTTGCGCGATTTCTGTTGGTGTCACGACAAACTCCTGCGATTGATTACTATAGCCCGCCTTCCAA